CCCCCAGCAAGAACTTTTTTAGCATGCACTGAAAGTGGCAGTGGTGGAAACAGTTACCTGGACCAACTTTGAGATATTTGGAGATCGTACTTGAATCGTAGCCCCTGGCTAAACCAATAGCCCTCTTGGGGCTAAACTCAGCCACTCTCTGGACAGTGTTGTTCTTCATGTCAACAGCAAGCACCCATGATGTGTGCTGCCTGTCGCGGTAGTCAATCTTAGCTAGTAAGTAAAGAATGCAATCATCTTGCAGGCTCAGCTTGGGCAGGCCAATATGGAGAGTCGACAAGGTAGGCTGAGCTGTGACACCTTCACGGACCTTCAGCTTAGGCAGCGGTGGTTCAGGTATAGCAGAGGAATCGAACTGGCAATCGACACTCCAATGCGCTTTGGATAAGATGCCAGTCTTGATGCTCCATATTGTGGCCTTCCAACCAATAGCACGGTGCTGCAGCTCGACCATCTTGATGAAGCCATTAAGGACTGAAACGTCCCGAACAGCGGGCGATCGAGTTGCATTGCTAGGCAGTCTTAAGAAATGAGGCTTGGGGTGTTTGTCCAGCACGTTGCAGAAGATAATCATATGCGAGAGATCAACCCAGGCCACTGTTCCTTCATCACCTCCGATTGTGATTGCCTTGTATGTGATGAACTCGTTGGCGTCGGGGACTGAATCGACATTCACTGGCAGCTTGCTCCAGGAGTTGGTATCATGGTCATAGAGGCAGAGGTGAGAATGATTGCCATATCTGAACCCATTAGCTTGTGCGGCCAGGATGTAGCTGCCCTCAGGTTTGCGCACAATGGCAAATGACTGCTCGTTGACTGGGTGGTCGTTGCCGGGCTGCTTGATGTGCTTGAGCTCGGGAACACTGGCGTCGTAGACGAAGTAGTGTCGATTGCGGCGATACAAGGCATCGGATGGGCAATCACCGACTACGACGCATAGGAGGACGAGCCCACCGTCAGTCTCTGTGGCGACTATGCTAGGCCGGGTGGCGAACACGTTGTGGTCGTAGGCGGTGACGTGGAAGCATAGGCAGGAGACCTGCGGTGGTTGGGCGGTGCAGAAGGTGACCTCGATGTTACCCCGGAGACGGAGACCCTCCAAGCCGCAGTCGGCGGTGGTGGCGTTGCGGCGGTCGGCAAAGAAGGCGTATGGCTCGATCAAGACGAAGCTTGGCTGGTCGCCACCGCCGTCGGGGTAGCCATAAGCAGGGGGATTCAAGGACGGGGAATCCTGTGTGATTGGGCGCCTGCGGAAAATCAATACCTTTCCCTCTCCTGCGGATGGACTGCTGTCAGGCTTCTTGACGGCTTCCTCCCCGCCGAGGTAAGAAGCAGCAAGAGCAGCCAGGCCGCTGTCCATGGATTGCAGATCGAGTGCCATCAAGCTCTTCCTCTCCGGTGTGTGGATCGATCCCAGATCGGTTGGCTCTCCTCTCCGCCTTGGGTGTGTGGATGGATTTATGTGGGGAAGGTGAGGTTGGAGTCGATCAGAGTCGGATCGAGATGAGATTGCAGCCGGAGCGAAAGGGGAGCGACCAGCCGCCGCTATACCAGGAGAACGAGGGTTGGGTGGGGAGTGCCTCGTAAGCTAGGGTTATGTTTCTCTTCAACATCTGTTTGGGGTCGAAGTTGGGCCTCCCACAGCCCAGAGAAAATCGGCTATTTGCCACTTTCAATACCGGGTTTCGTAAAATTGCCACTCCCAAGATTGGCTTCGCAAAAATGCCATCAAGCTCGTGTGCACATTGATTACTATGCCATTTTCCTTTTTTATTATTGTTTTCCTTTTCTTTTCTATTTTTTGGCACCCGAAAAAACCATAGTACCCCTCACGCTATCTTCACGTACTACTTGGGATTCAGATCGGCACTTGAAGCGAAACGAGCTCGTGCTGCCCCGCTGAGAAAAGCGACGCGAGGGTGAGTTGTGCCGGAGCGTGCAGACATGGACGAGCGCCGGCGGAGAGCGGCAGTGACGAGGGCAACTTGCAGCAGCGCGCGCAGCCATGGGCGAGCGCCTGCGGCGACCAGCGGTTTCTCGGACAGGCATGAGAAAGCTAGGGTGGCGAGTTCATGTAGCTCGCGCAGGCATCAATGAGGTACAACAGCGAGCAACCATGATGACAAGAACGAGATAAGCCTGAGAGCAAAATCCGATGCCAACACAACCAGACCACAAACGCATTGGATAAGGTTGAAACGACCAGGGGTACTTCTGTCCTTTCAAGTGCCAGAAAATGGAAAAGAAAAAGAAAAACAATGAAAAGGGAAAAAATGGCATGGTAATCAAAGTGCACACGAGCTAGGTGGCATTTTTGCAAAGAAAATCTTGAGAGTGGCAATTTTGCGAAGCCCGGTATTGAAAGTGGCAAATAGCCGATTTTCTCCACAGCTCACGGTGGCGACGCAAGTCTCTATCAATATATTGTTAGAGTTTTTTTGTTTTTGTCTTTTTAAGGCATGAACTTTTTTCGAGAGCAACTAGTTGACGAGCGCCCATTCGGGAGCCTCGCAACGATCAGCGCCACTTGACGCGCTCTCACTCATTCGCCACATTTCGCGCTCTGGACGCTCCGTCCGGATTTTGTTTTTTATTTTTATTTTTCCGCACTCGTTTTCGGTTTTTTTAAACGGTTTTTTCTTGTCTTTTCGATGTTTCAGTTTTCCACTTGTCTTCCTTAGCTTTTGGATAAAAAAATTTGCGCGAAAAAATGTGTTTTCTTTTTTTTCCTTTCGCGAGAGTCACGGTTTTGCTTTCGCGAGTGTCACGGTCGTGCCTCTCGGAAACGAAAAAAACATGTTTTCTGTTTTATTTCCTTCCGCGAGAGTCACAGTTTTGCTTTCGTGAGAGGCACGGTTGTGCTTTCGCGAGAGTCACGGTCGTGCCTCTTGGAAACGGGGAAAATGCATTTTTTTTCTTTTTTTTCTTTCGCGAGAGTCACGCTTTTGCTTCCACGAGAGGCATGGTTGTGTTTTCATGAGAGTCATGGTCGTGCCTCTCGGAAACAGAAAAACACATTTTCTGTTTTTTTTTCTTTCATGAGAGTCACGATTTTTCTTCCGCGAGAGGCATGGTCGTGCTTTCACGAGAAGCATGGCCGTGCCTCTCCTCGGAAATGAAAAAAACGTGTTTTTTCTTTGTTTTTTTCCTTCCGCGAGAGTCACGGTTTTGCTTTCATGAGAGACACGGTTGTGATTTCGTGAGAGGCACGGGCGTGCCTCTTTTGGAAAGGGAAAAAACCCGTGCTCCCGGCTCGGTTATTCGTATGGTTTTTTCGTTCGGTTTTTTCATGAAAAGAAGTTCGTCAAAACCTATCAACCCGAGATCTAGTTTTGAAGATCTCGATGCAAGGAATCCAATGGTGAAAGCGGTTCGAGATTTGGACGCATGGTTGAAGAGATAAACTGTTTTGAATTAAAGGATCTACGAAAAAAGGGAAAACTCTCAGGTTGCGACAAGTGGCGCACATGCAGCACGCCACTTGTTGTAACCTAGGAAGGTTGGAGTGATCTTTGCAATGAGTACTCCTCAACTAGTGATTTCAACTTTTCCCCCTAGTGTGATGTAGGGTCCCTTCTTTTCCTTTGGCGTTGTCCACGTAAAAACGTCGACACCGGCCGGATCTCACGACGATGGCTTTCTTGATGTATTTGGGTATAAACTAAACAAGGTGCCGGTGTGGGCTCAAATTCAAGGATGCATGAGTGGTTTGACAAGGAAGGGAGAACTCGCCGAGAAAGCTGTTGCTAAAGTTGGGGATCCGCCCTTCACCATGATGGTTGACAATGGAGTAATAAACCCGGGTAGTACCCCTCTTGCAGGAGTTTTTTGGCTATGGAAATTATTACTACCTTTGGTGATTCAAAAATGGAGAAAAAAGATTCTCGCTCGTTTCCCCAGAGGTGACCCTGAGTTATTGAACCCACGGGAGGAAGACCCCCTTGAAGCTAAACAAGCTTTTGCTAAAGAAAAACCCTAGCTTTAGGCCGGATGAAAATCAAACAAACTGAAGGGGAACACATATGACAAAAAATAGGCGCGGGTGTGAGATCTTAATGCTTACAACCCTATATTTGTGTTGGGACCAAATATGATCTTAATTTGTGTGTTGAAAGTCACCCACCGAGATGTTCTTGTTACGAACCAAAGTGGGGGGGTGTCCAAATTACGTCTTGACTGGAACGCATCCTGCTTCAAGAGTCAGTTGTTCAACCAAAGGCCCTACCCATCTTGTGGGGTTGCCTCGAGAATTAAGATTGCAATAACTAGACAAGAGCTTTGGGTGTTTAATGATTACACCTCTTGAATCCCCAGGGATAGGATCAATGTTACCATACTAAATCTTTCTATAACTGGTGTTTAGAATAACACTTCACGGTCTCCCTGCGCTTAGCCTCTTCGTGGCTCACTCTCTATGATCCTGGTGTTGAGAAACATAGTAGAAAACAAAAAAATCACCCTGCGATCAACGAGGTATGCCATGAAGATGCAATAACAGTTTGGATCGGATCGTTACCAACTCTGAGTTGCAGCGGAAGAAGACGAGTTGGTGTAGATCGTACTTGAAGTCCCTCGAACCGTCGATGAACGATCCCTCGAACAGACGATCAGAAGCACGACCTCTTCACAGTTTGCAAGCGTACGGTCTTCGCGATCCGGCAACGCTTTGCTGTTCTGAGCTAATCATCGCCTAAGAATTAGAGGGAGGAGATTAGAACCACACTAGACTTTTAATTATGAGGACTAAAGGATCTAGGTCTTTCTCTAATTACTCAACTAGGACCAACTAGAACTAGACCTAGTTGAACTAGAGGAGGCTTCAAAACTTGTGTGTTGAATTGTGGCCAAAACGTCTAGTATATGTAGGTTGGAGGAGGGGCAGGCGGCGCCACATAAGGGTGGAGTTTCCCCCTCCTCCCTTGGTCAGCCTAGAGGAGGGGGAACCCCCTCCAATTTGGCTTCCCCCTTGCTTCTGCAAGGGGTAAAGTGGGCTCCACCTATATTGGGCCCAAGTGTCCCAATATGCTTTCCACCACTTGGCCTTTTAAGGCCCCACTAGAGAAGCACGTGTTATACAAACCGTTTTTAACCCCTTTCTGTGACAGAGTTTAAAACCTTTGCCTTGCCTGTGTGTGCAATAGTGTGGCACCCCGGCTCATAGGAACCGGAACACCCTGTATTCCAGCCCAGAGATCAAGTCTTCTGGAATACGACACTGCTTGGCATAGAAAGGTCTTATTACAAATAATAGGGTTACAAAGGCTATGGTATACAAAGGATTACATCGGTGCGGCGACACTACGTCTGCTAAGGTAGCTCTATGCTAACTGCGGAACAACTTGTAGCAATGAATAACTTTTAGCAGCGAAGCAACGATGATGGAGATGGACTTCACTCCATAGGGACTCTGGCTGGGATACGTCCTAGCTTGCAAACTCGGGATCCTTGACAAGCAATCAACCATGGCATCACCTTCAATCTGGCATGACACGCCAGGTGAGTACTTTGAATGTAATCGCAAGCTCACAACAACCAAAGCAATCAAGACAAACAATAGCATGGCATTTACAGGTT